TCACAAGGGGTAATGAATTGTTTTATTATACCGATATATGTATTGAAAAGTATGAATCTCTAACCGTAATTCTTTCTTTGATTGGGATCGGGATTCGCTACACTCCGTATAGTGAAGTTGTTTACATTGACGTCTGTAAGTCGAGTAAGTTTTTGCATCATGATTTACTGATTAAAACAATATTTGGTTGATAGAGACATACATTGTTATAACTAACGATTACTTTTCCTCTACACAGTCAAAATCTAACACAGAATTCAACCCTTTAAAGAGCCGCTTCTACATTCCATTGAACTGAAATGTAACAATTCTTTTAAATGAGTAAACCGTTTAAGTTAACGATAAAATCTTACCGTATTCTGTATGGTAATGCAAAACAGACCATGCACAATTTTAAAAGCATGTTGTTTTTCTCGAAAAATTATTATTTTATGCATTAAATTCACTCAAAAAGGAATTTTTGATGAAGAGGTCATTCTTTAGCGGTCATTAATTATAATGACCGGGTCATTATATCCCACGTGCAATGATTCTTGTGTCATTTTTGCTGTAAACAATGCCATTTGGAGTCATTGTTCTGTTTTAAAGTTTTCTTACCAGCCAATCAAATTCGAGTATTATCAATAGAGGTATAATAAACGATAATAAAAACAGTTTTCTAGCTCAAAAGTCCATCTGAACAATACAGACCTGGAGCAAAGCAATCATGGACCTCCAAAACATCAGAGATGGGATTAGGTTACATGGAGGAAAAAGCATCCACTGCAGACAAGTCCACATGTTAAATGTAAAAAAAAAAAAAAAAAAAAAAAAAAATAAAAAGGAGAAAAATAAATCATTAACATTATATCATTTACGAAAGCCGGATAGGGATATTTTTGACAGAAGGAAAATTTTTCAACTTGTTATAACGATATATAAAATATAATCATCTCGTTATAATGAGTGAGCTATTTGGTTATAACGACATAGTAATCTCGTTATAACAAATAATTTTGTCGTTATAACGAGATGAAAATTTTTATAAAAATTTGATACATCTATGGAAGTATACAGATCCGAGGCGATCAAATTTTAACCTTGGTTATACCTTTTGAATGAGAAGAGATAGGGAATTCACATTACATATGTATTATCTGTGATAAGATCTTTCTAAATGTACTATGATATTAGCTCACCTGAGCCGAAGGCTCAAATGAGTTTTTATGATTACATTTTGACCGTCTGTCAGTCTATCCGTCCGTCTGTCTGTGAACTTTTCACATTTTGATTTCCTCTCAGGAACCATTGGACCAATTTTAACAAAACTTGTTACAAAGCATCCTTAAATAAAGGGGAATTTAAATGATTAAAATGATGTGGCAAGTCTCCTCACAAGGGGTGATAATCAAGAAAAGAAAAATTAGGGTTGGCCATTAAAGAATCTTCTCAAGAACCACTATGCCAATAAGCTAAAACTTATGTAGAAGCATCCTTGGGGTAGTGTAGAACATTGTTCAAATCATGACTCTTGGGGTTTGGCGGGGTCACAATAGTGAATCAAAGTGTTACATTAAAATATATGTGAAAAAATTAAAATTCTTCTCAAGAACCACTGGGCTAGAAAAGCTGAAACTTTTGTGGAAGCATGCTGGGGTAGTGTAGAATTCGAATTGTTCAATGACCTCCTGGGGTAGAAGGGGGCCACAATTTTGAATCCAAGTTTTACATCGAACTATAAAGGGAAAAAATCTTTAACCAGTTCTCGGGAACTACTGGGCCAAAAACAGCTGAAACTTATGCAAACACATCTTGGGGTAGATTTTAAATTATCCTAATTATGACTCGTGGGGTTAGGTGGGGTCAAATATGTGTTACTTTGGGGAAAGAACAGAATGGTCAAAACTACTTAGGTGAGCGATGTGGCCAATGGACCTCTTGTTTACCCTTTGACCTTGACATTGACATACTTTTCACAAATTTAAACATTTCTTTAAATTGAGAAGAGATAGGGATTTCATATTACATATGTGTATTATCCTTGACAAGATCTTTCTAAACATACTATAAATTTGACTCCATGAGCTCGACCTTGAAGTTTGACCTTATTTTTAAAAACTTTCACCATGGTCATAAATTTTTGATGAGAATGTTTAGAGCTTTCACCTTTCACATGTAGATTACCCGTGTAAGACCTTTTTTTAAAAATAAACTCTGATTTTTGACTACGTGACCTTGACTTTGAAGTTTGACCTACCGGTGTGAATTACCTGTGACACGATATTTCCGAGCATGCTATACTTTCTGACCCCTTGACCTTCGTGTTTGATAAGAAAAAGATTATGTGAATGTATCTTGAAATTTTATTCAGTGGTATAGATGGAATTCCGGATAAGAGATGGATACTCTTCAAGTTTATAGAAAAAAAAGCAGTGTCAATGGTTTGCTCTGAAAAACCCAAAATATGTGTCCGATCAAAAAGTAAAATAAGTTGTGCACAATGGCAGTGTAGAACGCAGATTCTGTTTAAGTCTCATTACCTTTCATTTAGTGGTTAAAGATGAGTTATAGATAATAGATTAGTTCCCAAAATTAACAAAAAAAGGTATATATATTTTAGGGATGTCAAAATTGTCAGTAATTGATATTCGAATATTCGATAGGAGTATTCGAATATATTCGAATATTCGATAAAATAATACATCTTGCATTATAAAATATATATCTTCACTATCCTGTCAAGCAATATACCTTTTATGCCATTATTTTTAGAATATAATTTCATGTATAGTTTTGTATATGCACTGTAACTACATTTTAAAAAAAATGCAAAGTATATGAAGAGTTTACATCCAAAATGAAGTGATTTTTTTTTCTGAAAATTCAAAGGATTCTTTTGTTCCAGATTAATTAATAGTCCTACCACAGTCTGCACTGATAACTCTTACAAATTTATAGCAAACAGAACAATTAACTAATAGAGCAAAATCATAAGCAATTACTTTTTGCTAATTAATTTCCTGATAATTATTTTTAATTATATATATGCATACATAAACAAGGGATCCATGTGTCTACTGTAAAACAGTGTCCTTTCAACAATAGAAACTGATTGTTTGTACTGGACACTGTTATACCACTTAGTAAATGATCTAATATTATAATGATCGATACTCTCTTTACACTTTTAAGATAATCCAAGAGGAGTGCCTTTTAATTTTGTTTTTAGTCAAATCTTATTGCTGGTTAATAGTACGAATTTAATTAAATTTTTTACAAAACTTGCCAGATTTTCCCCAATTTTAAATGCTTGTTTATCTAATACCCGAATATTCGAATCATAAATTTATATTCGAATATCAATTCATCGAATGAATATTCGAATACTCGAATATTCGTTGACATCCCTAATATATTTACATACATTTACAAGGAGAAAGGCTACTTTTTCCAGACTAAAATTACATAAAACTGATAATTTTCTTCTAGGAGAATTAACAACTTAACATACTAAATTATGTAACACAGTTGTTTATCCTTTAACATTTTATACACAAAAATTGTGTATTTCAACTGTAACATTACTGCATTCACTTGTGACGGCATCACAGGTACTTAAGAGCGTCTGAAACAACGTGAAATTTATGCGCACGTAGATGGGGCTGTATTTAAAAAAACAAGATTAAATATGATAAATAGAATGTTCTTATTTGATGTGTTATACTACATGTATAACGTATATGATATTAAATGTTGCAAAAAAAAAGAAAAAAATAACATGGGGATGTGTATTTTTCTAAAATTCGTTAAAAGATATGATCTTTGAAGTACAACGAAGATGTCTTTTTTTTCTTCCCATGAGCCACAAAGCAAGTAGCAATAATGTTTAAATACAGTAATTACCACTTAAAGTACTAGGGTAAGAAAAATGTTACAAATTTTGTTCTTTTTTTCAAATTGATGTTGTAAAATCTTTCTTTATTTTCTTCCAGAACCAAAAGAATGCCCCTGTGGTATCATTTTTTACATACGCTGCGCTGGATAAACAAGGACACCTATCATACTTTAGAATAGATGGTGAATCAGCAATTGTTGGTAGCAGTGAAGAACTGGAAGGCTTTCATATTTCTTTTAAAACATCAACCGATTCCCCACTAATAAAGCATGATTCTTTTAAAGGTCATGTATCTGGATTGGATGTTTTAGATAAGACCCTGAAAAAACGTTTTGTACTTAAACGTTTCGTTGAAAATAAGGTATACATTGCACTTAACGGGACTAATGAGACAGATCGTGGTATAAATTTTGTGGTTCACCAAATAACAGCCCAATTACCACTTAAGTTTGATATTATTTTTAAATCAAATAGTTTTCGTTCTGCAAATATTCTTCAAGGTGAAATACTATCTAGAGAGATAGAAAAACGTTCTGGAGAATTTGACGAAAAGTTTTCTTCCGTTTTTAATTTGGAATCAAAAAAATACACATTAAAAGCCATCAACTTTGCAAAAGCAGCACTGAGTAATATGCTAGGGAGCATAAGCTACTTCGATGGTTCATCTCGAGTACAATCTGAAAAGAGCGAAGAAGTTTTGAAGTATTGTCAAGCTACACTATATACGTCTATACCATCTAGATCAAAATACCCAAGAGGATTTCTTTGGAATGTAGGGTTTGATCTTCATTTGATAACTCTTTGGGATGCAAAAATATCGGAAGATATAATCATACATTGGTTAGACTTGATAAATGAAGAAGGATGGATACCCAGAGAACAGATACTTGGAGAGGAAGCAGAAGCTAAGGTTCCATCTCAGTTTATTGTGCAAAGAAACAATATTGCAAACCCACCTTCTCTTTTTCTAGCCATTCAACATCTTATTAAAAATAGACAAAAAATAGAGGTTCTCTTGGAGAAAATTTTTCCAAGAATGGAAAAATGGTTCAAATGGTTACAAGTAAGTCAAGCTGGAAAAATACCTACGTCTTTTTATTGGAGGGGAAGAAATAATTCCGCAGAAATGGAATTGATTCCATACACCTTTGCTTCTGGGTTAGATGATTACCCCCGTGCGTCCCATCCTGACGAAAATGAGCGTCACCTTGACCTTCGTTGTTGGATGGCGATGGCTTCGGGAGTGTTAGCGAACATTGCAAAAAGGACTGGAGAGGACTCAAGCGCATACGAGAAAATTTATAAAGATCTTACCGCTAACAAATTGTTAGATAGTTTACATTGGGACTCTGGCCACGAATTTTATAGTGATTATGGATTGCATACGAATGACATAGAAATAGACAGTGACATCAGTATAGACCGCATTGTTTATTCACATCCAGCATTTGGATATATTGGGATATTTGGATACGTTAGCTTATTTCCTCTGATGCTAAAAATTCTTGATTCCGATTCTCCTCGATTGGAAAAAATGCTGTCAGACCTGAGAAGAGAAGATTTGTTATGGACAAAATATGGGATACGCTCATTATCAATAAAGTCAACATTTTACAACATGCCAAATACAGTTACCGACCCTCCGCACTGGAGAGGAGCAATATGGATAAATATGAACTACCTAATTATCAGTGGACTTCACCACTACTCTCAAGTTCCTGGTCCTTATCTTAATCAAGCAAGTAATATGTATACAGAGCTAAGAAAAAATGTTGTTGAGAACATTTTCAAACAGTACTATGAAAGAGGTTATATATTTGAACAATATGATGACATAACTGGAACGGGTAGGGGGAGCTTCCCCTTTACTGGATGGTCTGCTCTTGTTGTGAACATAATGGCAGAAAAATACTAAGCGTTCTAAGAAAATCAAAATAAAAATTAGTAATAACATAAATATAACGCGAATGAAAACTTTTGGAAAACTGCTCTTTTCAATGAAAATGCAGAAAACCATTTTAAAAAAATGTGACGATTTTTTATATCGTGCCAAATAAGAATATATATCGTAACAAATAAAAATAGCTAGCTTTGATAACAAATAAAAAAAGTAGTTAGATTTATTCTATGTTTTCAAATCCTTGAAAAATATTAATAGTATACATGATGTAAAAATCTTTAACAATTTCCTTTTTTTGTAGAACTGTAATTGCTGTGTCAATTAAAGTTGTTTATATTTCTTTTCATTTTTTGAACACGCTATTAGCTAAACATGAGAGTATTAGTAGAAAAAGCAAGAAAAAGAAGGGGAGCGATTAAAAGAGTTTGTATAATTATTCCTGCGAAGAATGGACACATTTTACTTTTTATGTGTAATTTAGATTTTTATAAATCTATAAACAATCAGGACAACAAAAAAGTCAATTTTCAGGGTACCATTTTTTTTTCTAAAATCGTTTTTTAAATTTTGAAATATTGAAAAATTTATGTGTGGATAATGAAACCTAAGTTTTAAAAATACGTAATATATATATATATATATATATATATATATATATATATATATATATATATATATATATATATATATATATATATATATATATTTTTTCTATTGTTTTTCTATTTTTCTAATGTTTTATGTCAGGTTTGATGATTCATATTAATCTTATGAGAGTTAGGAAGCTTATTTTACCTCTTTTTAAATGCTTTAATTCTGACATGGGTTCACCAGGCTTTCATTTTTTTTATTTGTCCAACTATTAACTCGCTTTTTCCTAATTAGAATTTTTCACCAATCTCCATACAACATGATAAATTTTGATGAATCTTAGGTAAAGGTTTGTTGCAGTAAATGAAGATCTATGGGGGCTCACTACTTACTTAATACCTTTTTAGTTGATGCGACCTGTATCAAACATAGGTCATATATCGTATTTTAAAATTTCATGACTAAGCATACCATACTAGATATAAAATCATTTATGGCATATATCTTGCACCACGAGAGTTCTAGGAATATTAAACTTGGTTTAAGCTGATGATTGTATAACGAAAAGAAGATTATTAAACCGTATCCTTATCATATTTTGCACTACAACCAGATGTTTTGAATAATGATTATTTTAGGTGATTCATCTTTAGGGGACTGCAAGGTGAGGTGTGTCATACTTTAAAAGTCATTAAGAATGCCAACTTTAGATGCAATAATTAATAACATAAAGCGTTATGTTGCAATGAAAATTCTTTCATCATTAGCGGTTGGTAAAATGCTTACTCCTTCCGGACACCTGACTCCATTTCTGGGTATTCCAGGGAGCCCATGTCTTATACCACGGTAGATTCAATAAATGTAAACGATTTGAAAAACATGTAAACATGACCTTTTTTAAATTTAAATTTGCGAATAAGAAAATGGAGTCACGGATCGCATGAAATTGTAATTATTCTCAAACAAAGCACAAAATATTATTCATTATAATATTTTTGATTGTAAAATGGTGTTTAACTTAATAAAATATTAACACTCAGATTGAGTTTTTTTGCGTCATTCCATCATGAGTAAGTTCTACATTCATTGCTTTATTTGCATTAGACAAGTAGTCCTCAGCAGAAAAATAAAGAAACAAGAAACCAATGGGTTACAGCTCACATTTAAAAGCACCGACTAGGAAGAAGCAGAAACCAGCTCAGTATTGAAAAGTTTTAATTTACACTACCTCAGGATGATTCCTACATATTGTCATGTAAAGCGTTGATCCTCTTTTCTGCCCCCCCCCCCAACTCCTTGGTGTCATACGTAGTAATCTGAACAATTTAATTGACTCTGCAATACCTAATGTTGCCTCTGTATAAATATGACTGGTTATGGCTTGTAAATATTTGTAAAGATTGTAAAGATATTTCCTGTGTAACGGGCATGATCAGGTTCTAACAAAGGATATATTACTTTTTCTTTGACCTTATCATGGCCATAAAACATCCATTCCAAAAACCGTAGCCTCTCAGCCGTCTTTTCGTCGTTCCTTCTGTAACGTGTTTATCGAAACAATAGGGTTCTTTATAAGGGATATATGATTTTCCTTGTACTCTATCTGAGTAAAAATGATTAGTAGATATGATAATTTTCTTTTACTCTTCCTGAGTATAATGATTCTGTATCTAATTCGAAAAATAATTACACTATCAGAGGCTTTACCGAGGGCTATATGATTGTTTAGATGTGACTGGGTAACTTCACCGCGTATTCTTGGTAAAAGGGTTCCTATTAATATAGAGAATCAAGCGCCTCGATCTTATTAGACCTACTACCTCCTGACTCGCAAATAAATTCCCCTAAATCCTTACCGCTATTTCCTACCCTAGCCTTACGTTTGTTTGTCGTCGTCTTCTCTGTAATTTCTCCGCCGTCTGACTTCTACGCAATACCCCGCATCTGCCAATTGCACTGACTTATATACCCTTGGAACAATTTATTTCCAAGGGTTGTCAGGTCATTCCATTCTATGGGGGTGTTCTGTACGTTTCTCTTATGTTTCACTTCTTTGCAAAACATGAACACATGGGATGACTTTTCCGAATTTCATTGTTTAAGATGACCTAAGTACAGCATTGGCAAATATCCAATTTAAACTGTTCTACTCTAAATCCATTCATTACTTTCAAATGAAAGTATCATGTCACGTAGCGTAACATATACAGAATATAAAAATCAATTTGTATATACAAATAGATGTTGGATTGAATAAAATGAAAATAAAATTTTAACTTATATTCGTTTTCTACGTGTCGTCCTAAACTGGCATTTAAACCACTATTCACTTCATATATAGCCTTGCTATTGGGACCGGTTCTAAAGAACCGCGCGATATACACATGGAATTTGAATGAAAACCTTGTAATTCCGAAAAAACTAATTCATTATCATACCAAGTCTGTCTAATATGTTCATCAAACGAAAGAAATCTTATTTATCTTTGAGCTTTGTTGGATGAAAATGTGGTATAAAATTGTCCTATTTTTAAAGAAGGCAATTTCAAAGAAATTGCGGAAAATATGCCAACTCGGCATTAAACTCTATACAACCAATCAATCGAAGATAAATAATGATCAAAAAGAAAATTGGATACTAGTTACTGGCAAGTGAGATTATATCAAAGGAGTGATATTTTATCTGCTTGAGAGGTATTCCACAAGATCAATTATTGAAGTTTTTAAAGGACAGCTTCCCCAAACAGAAATATCTGAGCTGACTCTCGCCTCTTGTTTTGACCAACGATTCATGGATTACATTCAAACCATGAAAAGATTTCACAATATACAGCTAAATATGTTGGTGTGAAAATCATAGTCGTTGTGTTTACATCTGAATTAGCCATTTTTGGTAATATATTCAAGGAAAGTAGATCACAATTAATACTTTCGTGACATTTAATTTTTGCGAATTTACTTTTTTGCTCACCTGAGCGGTTGTTGTAAACTTTTCACATTTTCATCTTCTTCTCAAGAACCGCTGGACCAGTTTCAACCAAATTTGCTACAAAGTATCACTGGGTAAAAGGGGATTCAAGTTTGTTCAAATGAAGGGCCAAGCCTTGTTTGAAACAACAAATAATTATGGCATGTTCGTTGATAAATGTTAAAAGTTTAAAATTCAAGAAAACGAAAGTAAGCATATTTATACTCAAATGCAATGGGCTGAATTTTCTCAGCTTATGAAATAATCATCTATTTTGGAATCTAGACGACACTGAATTACTTGTCATGTTTATTTAACCTATAATTTAGAATATCATGGATATGTCAAAAATTGAAAATACTTGAATTAATGTACTTCCGTAAATAAAAAATAAAAAACTTACTTCCAGTAAAGTCATTTCAAATGGCATTTTAAAAAATAATGAAGAGAGATATCTCTTTGCAATAAAGAGATATCTCTTTCTGCTTGAGAGATATCTCTTTTAGAAATTTTTGAAAGATATCTCTTTCACTTTGAAAGATATCGCTTAAGATAAACTAAGATATCTCTTAAGATAAACTAAGATATCTCTTAAGATAAACTAGAGAAGTATCTCTTTTACTTCTAGAGATATATATCTCTTTAACTTGGAAAGATATCTAAATAATTAAAAGAGATATCTAGTAAAAGAGATATCTCTTCTACGTTCAGAGATATCTCTTTTAACGAAATAGATTCTCTCAATGAGAAAGAGATATCTGCTTAAGGTACTCCGATCCTCAGGTTTATAAAATTAGCTGTTAAGTAATCAAAAATACTCATAAAAGTATCTTTGAATTCACAAAGCTATGTAAATTTATCCACAGTATTTCTTTAAAGTTATAGATTAAAGTTAATCATATTATATAGGGAAAATTGTCAAATCTCCAATATTTTTGCAAAGTATTTCTGTGGGAAGCGAGTCTCACAAATACAGGTTGAGAATAAATGGATACAGTGGTTCTGCAGGCAAGTCCATGCATATAATATCACAAATTTAACTGATGAGGGTGACGTAAAGTACATAGTTGAAATAAATATAGAAATTAAGCAGAAGTATTTGAATCGATAATGAATTAAAGGAAAACTTTATGGAAGGAGATAGTCTTGGGCCTAATAAGGGTGGAAATTTTCAACAAAAGATAAAGACAACGATAGTTGAGGAAAATTTTGTGCCGTAAAAAGAAAAGCAGGGTGGTGGTTTCAGGAGTGTCAAACCTTTAACCCAAAAAGACCTTACCACAGATCCACAGTACGAACGTAGGCCTCTCTTGTCTGGTACAACTTTGGAAATGATTATCGCTCCTTAAAGTACTCGAGAATGATTATCAGACCCAAAAGATGAGACTGTGTGATATAAGCATCTTCTGTGTCATGTGTTGGGATGAATTATTAACAGCAGCATTGATAGTAAAAAT